CGGGGAGACTCGTAAAGACGAAATAAAGCAGTAAGAGAACATTGAATTGTTTGGTCAACTTTAAAACACATGTAATCACCTTATTTGTTTTATACCAATGCTATCTGTAAGGTATAAATGCGTTTGTAAGATGAATAAATGTCTGTAAGGACATCGGATGGACTGTATTTGTGTCATTTTGTTAGGTTAATGCTTCAGCTACAGATGATGTGTTGTGCAATTGTTAATTGGGTTTCTTTCTTTAGTAATGGCATTCATTCTCGCTACATAAGATACCTGTCTGTTATGTAGTGCCCTGTTATACTGCATTACTGTGTAATATTTATGGTTTCTATAGCCGTGGCATCATTATGATGGTATGAAGAGATGGATTAATTCATGTAGGACGCCACTGAAGGCCTAGGTGTAAAATGCACGGCCCGCCACTGGTATAGAGTGAATATGACATATGACATTGATATAGGATACAATGTGCTCGTTTGCTGGATTCACTGAAGTTTGCAAGGTTTATCGATATTCAAAGGCTTTAAACGACCAAAATATTTGCTGAATGCCAGTATATTAAAAAGGTATTACAGTGTTTACAATTCTATTGTCAGACAGTAAACTGTACTAATACAGTACAGACTGTAAACTAATTAAGACAGAATGAGAGCTCCTGTGCAGTTCTTGTCACTGTCAAAATAAAAGTCCCACTCACGGCACTTATTAGCCACACGGAAAGCTTATTAAAAATGAAGCAGAAAAAAAAGGTTAAAAAAAATTCTAAATTAAAAATGCCAAATGTCAGCTGGTATATCAGCTTTAGCTATATATTGGTCGACCACTAACACAATAAAATATTACAAAAATGCAAGCTCAAAGAAATATTAGGAGGTCAAAGGTCAAATTAGATACACAGTATATCCCAAGTTTTATTTAATCTCATTCTACTGTCAGGCACATTATCTTTATGATGAAACAACACACAGTATGTTTGAGGCCCTAGCAACATTACAAAGCAACAAAACCATGTAAAACATTTCAAATATTTAGGTAATTCATTGCTTTAATGGATAACTGTGACAGGAAAGTACAAGCGGAGATTGTCAGAAGATTATAGAGATGAAATTGTCTAATTCATTATCCTGACAGCTGGAGATTCAAGTTCCCTTTTAACACGGCACATGTAAATTTTCCAGAATGCAAACACATTTTAAAGGGGTTCTTGAAATCCAATTAAATCAGATACAAGATTACCAAATTACCATTTTTATTAACCTGCAGGTTAGCAGTTTTGTGATTTAAAATTCCTCTTATGAAGACTATTAAAACAGCCTCATCATGAATGTGAAGACAAGGGTCATTTAAAGAGCAGGGGAAAAAAACATATGCAACTTCACATTTTCTTTCCTATTCATTATCCACCTCCCTCTTTTAGTTCCATGTCTCCTGGAAGCATAGCAAATGAGACGGATTAGGGTTTAATGAAAGCACTGAGACCAAGCAAAGAGCAGAAGTGAAGGAAATCAATGTGGGCCATCTTAGGGGCCGAGCTTAGAAATGGAACCTGAAATATACCCCACCACTGAAACCCACCGACTTACACGGTGGACGTTCCTCCTTTTCTCAAACTGAATTTGAACATTTCAGACTTGTATACCCTCAGGAATCTCCTTCTCTTTCGCCTGTAAGTCTGTCTGAGGAGACGGAAAGAAAATATATATCGAAAAGGACATTAACCTTTACCACCCATTCAAAGATGGGACCTCAATTAACAGAAGTAAATAATCCTTGTAATTACCCCTTGGCCATACTCAGCTGGCATAAAACCTACTAAATGGACCGTCGCAACATAAAATGGGTATATAATTAAAAAAGAAAGAGAGAGAGAGAACAGTACAGACTGTAAACTAATTAAGACAGAATGAGAGCTCCTGTGCAGTTCTTGTCACTGTCAAAATAAAAGTCCCACTCACGGCACTTATTAGCCACACGGAAAGCTTATTAAAAATGAAGCAGAAAAAAAAGGTTAAAAAAAATTCTAAATTAAAAATGCCAAATGTCAGCTGGTATATCAGCTTTAGCTATATATTGGTCGACCACTAACACAATAAAATATTACAAAAATGCAAGCTCAAAGAAATATTAGGAGGTCAAAGGTCAAATTAGATACACAGTATATCCCAAGTTTTATTTAATCTCATTCTACTGTCAGGCACATTATCTTTATGATGAAACAACACACAGTATGTTTGAGGCCCTAGCAACATTACAAAGCAACAAAACCATGTAAAACATTTCAAATATTTAGGTAATTCATTGCTTTAATGGATAACTGTGACAGGAAAGTACAAGCGGAGATTGTCAGAAGATTATAGAGATGAAATTGTCTAATTCATTATCCTGACAGCTGGAGATTCAAGTTCCCTTTTAACACGGCACATGTAAATTTTCCAGAATGCAAACACATTTTAAAGGGGTTCTTGAAATCCAATTAAATCAGATACAAGATTACCAAATTACCATTTTTATTAACCTGCAGGTTAGCAGTTTTGTGATTTAAAATTCCTCTTATGAAGACTATTAAAACAGCCTCATCATGAATGTGAAGACAAGGGTCATTTAAAGAGCAGGGGAAAAAAACATATGCAACTTCACATTTTCTTTCCTATTCATTATCCACCTCCCTCTTTTAGTTCCATGTCTCCTGGAAGCATAGCAAATGAGACGGATTAGGGTTTAATGAAAGCACTGAGACCAAGCAAAGAGCAGAAGTGAAGGAAATCAATGTGGGCCATCTTAGGGGCCGAGCTTAGAAATGGAACCTGAAATATACCCCACCACTGAAACCCACCGACTTACACGGTGGACGTTCCTCCTTTTCTCAAACTGAATTTGAACATTTCAGACTTGTATACCCTCAGGAATCTCCTTCTCTTTCGCCTGTAAGTCTGTCTGAGGAGACGGAAAGAAAATATATATCAAAAGGACATTAACCTTTACCACCCATTCAAAGATGGGACCTCAATTAACAGAAGTAAATAATCCTTGTAATTACCCTTGGCCATACTCAGCTGGCATAAAACCTACTAAATGGACCGTCGCAACATAAAATGGGTATATAATTAAAAAAGAAAGAGAGAGAGAGAGAGAGAGAGAGAGAGAGAGAGAGATTACGATGAAGACCAATCCACATACTGTAGCTCTTCTTGTGACCAAAGCAAAATCTATTGATGTTTAGATGTAAGATTGGGGAGGTCGGGCCAAGTTGTCACATGCCAGAGCAAGGCGTGTTATTATAATTAAGCTTATTAATTTAAATTTTTCATTCAGTAATTTAAATTGTATATTAGTTGGCCGAAAACAATGGTTTTATATATTGGTTTTATATAATGTTTTTTGTACTCACCTTGTACATTTTCTGCAGTTTCATTAAATGTTTTGTATTTGCTTTACTGTTATAATTTTGCTGGAAAAAATGAAATAAATGAAAAGCCTATTAATGTCAGGTTCCACTGTGACAACTTGCCTAATAGTGTGACAACATATTTATTTATTTATCTAGCATGGTTAATTCACACAAAAAAAATTGATAAAGAAAAACTATCTTAGAAAAATAGTCACTAGAGTAAAAGAGTGTGACAGCTACCCCTGGTCTTCCAAACACTGCTAAAAAAAAATTAAAAAAGCACTTCATCAAGTCAGAAATATTATTTAATATGACTAAATCAAGCTGACAATTTTGAGTCACACCAATGAAATGAAAGAGGTTTTTAAAGGTCATGTTAGAAATAGCTTGTTAAGTTAACAATAACAGCACATCTATTTTTACAGTGTATATAATTGCATGTTATAGACCAAAGAACAAATTTCAAAATAAGTTTTATTTATTTTAGGGAGGTATTGTGAGCCCCTGAAATCAATGATAAGCCATTGAAAAACAGAATAGAGTGCATTTTCTGTTCATTTGTGGGTCTTAGTTAAGATAATCATATACATCAGCAGTACCACTTCATCACCATCAAACGATGACTATAGAGAGAGGCTTTGACACAATTCTCGGAGCCTGAGGAGGACTCTAAATTCAAAGCTTATGCAAATATGTTTGCGGTATTCAATCGAAGACTATTTGAGCTAGGGCAATTCACATGGAGATTGAGGATAAATATGTTTTCATTGTCCTCAGACAATAATACATTAATTTTCCTTCATTATTTGTAAGAATCACTGGCAATATCCTTCTGAAATAAGCATGACATTAAAGGCCCAGTGGAAAATCAGGATGGAACAAAAAGTCTTTAATTTAGTTGGTGCCAGAAGGCAAAGAGTAAGGATGAACCAAATGGAAGGATCCTAAAGTTAAAACTTTCTTCCCAAAATGTGCCTCTTTCCCCTGGAACGTGAACTTAATAAAGTAGATCATACTCTGCGAATTCATAATACACAAAATGTAATCACAAACTGATTTGATGCAGATGCTTTGAATTGAAAAGGACATTAACCTTTACCACCCATTCAAAGATGGGACCTCAATTAACAGAAGTAAATAATCCTTGTAATTACCCCTTGGCCATACTCAGCTGGCATAAAACCTACTAAATGGACCGTCGCAACATAAAATGGGTATATAATTAAAAAAGAAAGAGAGAGAGAGAGAGAGAGAGAGAGAGAGAGAGAGAGAGAGAGATTACGATGAAGACCAATCCACATACTGTAGCTCTTCTTGTGACCAAAGCAAAATCTATTGATGTTTAGATGTAAGATTGGGGAGGTCGGGCCAAGTTGTCACATGCCAGAGCAAGGCGTGTTATTATAATTAAGCTTATTAATTTAAATTTTTCATTCAGTAATTTAAATTGTATATTAGTTGGCCGAAAACAATGGTTTTATATATTGGTTTTATATAATGTTTTTTGTACTCACCTTGTACATTTTCTGCAGTTTCATTAAATGTTTTGTATTTGCTTTACTGTTATAATTTTGCTGGAAAAAATGAAATAAATGAAAAGCCTATTAATGTCAGGTTCCACTGTGACAACTTGCCTAATAGTGTGACAACATATTTATTTATTTATCTAGCATGGTTAATTCACACAAAAAAAATTGATAAAGAAAAACTATCTTAGAAAAATAGTCACTAGAGTAAAAGAGTGTGACAGCTACCCCTGGTCTTCCAAACACTGCTAAAAAAAAATTAAAAAAGCACTTCATCAAGTCAGAAATATTATTTAATATGACTAAATCAAGCTGACAATTTTGAGTCACACCAATGAAATGAAAGAGGTTTTTAAAGGTCATGTTAGAAATAGCTTGTTAAGTTAACAATAACAGCACATCTATTTTTACAGTGTATATAATTGCATGTTATAGACCAAAGAACAAATTTCAAAATAAGTTTTATTTATTTTAGGGAGGTATTGTGAGCCCCTGAAATCAATGATAAGCCATTGAAAAACAGAATAGAGTGCATTTTCTGTTCATTTGTGGGTCTTAGTTAAGATAATCATATACATCAGCAGTACCACTTCATCACCATCAAACGATGACTATAGAGAGAGGCTTTGACACAATTCTCGGAGCCTGAGGAGGACTCTAAATTCAAAGCTTATGCAAATATGTTTGCGGTATTCAATCGAAGACTATTTGAGCTAGGGCAATTCACATGGAGATTGAGGATAAATATGTTTTCATTGTCCTCAGACAATAATACATTAATTTTCCTTCATTATTTGTAAGAATCGAGAGAGAGGCTTTGACACAATTCTCGGAGCCTGAGGAGGACTCTAAATTCAAAGCTTATGCAAATATGTTTGCGGTATTCAATCGAAGACTATTTGAGCTAGGGCAATTCACATGGAGATTGAGGATAAATATGTTTTCATTGTCCTCAGACAATAATACATTAATTTTCCTTCATTATTTGTAAGAATCACTGGCAATATCCTTCTGAAATAAGCATGACATTAAAGGCCCAGTGGAAAATCAGGATGGAACAAAAAGTCTTTAATTTAGTTGGTGCCAGAAGGCAAAGAGTAAGGATGAACCAAATGGAAGGATCCTAAAGTTAAAACTTTCTTCCCAAAATGTGCCTCTTTCCCCTGGAACGTGAACTTAATAAAGTAGATCATACTCTGCGAATTCATAATACACAAAATGTAATCACAAACTGATTTGATGCAGATGCTTTGAATTGAGTCCCCTCAACCTAAACATTGTTGCCAGATATTGCTAATTCACCAACAAACATGAATGCGTTACATTTCTGTCCAACCACCAGGAAAGAGCTTCAGCTGGCTTCAAAGTTGCCGGTAACGTTGGAAGTGTGACTTTCATGAACAGCAAACTTTATTTTCTCTCATGTTTCTCTGTTCTCTCTCTCTATCGCTCTCTCACTTTTTTTTTCTGCTCTGATATTAACATTTTGCTTGTGGCAGATGGAGCTAATGTGGATTGGTATTTTCATTATAAGTCACCCCAAAGCCATGCTCAGCTGTATCTGTGATTTCCAAATTGAGCTGTAAATTTTGAGAGCATCTGACACCCGTGCCCCAGGCTTACATCAGAATACTAACAAGATGACGACGACATTTCCGTCTCTGTAATTCGCACCGTATATCAGGTCAAGCCAGAACACCATCCGCTAGAACACAGCAGAGCATGGGACAATCCAGACATAACACTCTTTAAGTATCC